AGAGGGAGGAGGAGGGGGAGGAGGGGGAGGAGGATTTGGTGGAGGAGTTGGTGGAGGAGGAGGAGGAGGAAGAGGAAGAAGAGGAAAAAATAGGGAAAGAGGAGGAAGGCGAGGATGAAAGTGACGATGACTCTGGGTATGAGAGTGAGGATGAGGAGGAGGATGACACGGACAGTGACTTCTGATGAGGTGACGCACATTTACCAGGTTCCTACACTAAAAGCACCCGCGTCCCCCATTTGTGACTGATTTAGGCGTGTGAAATGCCACACGCAACTGAGTATTAATGCACAATGAAAGTAATAAAGCAAACTTTGCTCGGAGACAAGATCAGCCCAGGGGCCTTTCACTTGCGAAGGCCTAACTGTTTCAAATCATCGCACACAATTACGCCTTCATACGCATACTTTCTTCTTTTCCGACAAGTTGCAGATGTCAGGGCTGACATTCGAAGGTTCCGCAAGCAAGCTTCCCCAGCGCGCCCAGTAAACAGTCCCATACGACGCGAGCAACTCCTCCCCGGCTCGGATCTTCCGCGTGCTATACATGACCACACAGGGAGGCCTGCTTTCCCTCTTTTTTGGTGCCCCGGCAACGTCCTCATCGAATTCATCGAACCTCAAAAGTCGGCCGTATCTTAAATTGTTCTGCATGTCCGGTTGTCCCTTCGCGTCATTCACGTACCGACCTAAATTCAGAATGCTTCCATAACGCAAGTGTCCGTTTTCTACATCAACTGTCGCGTCGGCGTTGTCACATACAAAGGAATGTACAGCCTCGGCATCAAGCGTCAGTTTGGGGCCAACCTGAATACAATACCGACCCTGTGCCTTCTCGCGTCGTAAATCGCCGTAGTACAAGACAAGTGGTTTTTGCGCGGGGAGGTCTACGGATGTCCACAGACCGTCCCCGGCTCCATGGATGGAGGACGGTCGGACCGCTAAATATGGCACGAGAGCGTCCACTTCTTGCAAGAGAGCTTGGATGGAACCCTTTTCGGTGTGATAAGCGCCTGAACGGAGTTTTACCATGCACGGGCGTCCTTTGCCCCCAAAAGGTTGAAGCGTTGCTCGATTCTTGAGCGATAGATTGCGTGCCCTGAATTCCAATGAGCAAATAAATGTGTTTGTGGGATTAAGGTTCGAATGATTACCTTCAAACCTTCGGTAAGGGCACAAATGCAGAGGCACTGAACCAAAGGCGTCGACAACCACATTTCCTTGCTCTCAAAAGAAAAAGAGGAGGGAAAACCTACATCGGAAAGGCAGACACTGACGTCGCTCTTCGCCGCACGTCAAGACCGTTTAACCTTTGCTCTTTGCCCCGATAATTTGCACTGAAACTGCACATAATGCAAGAAAAGAGATCGCAATAATTTGAGATAGGGATCTGGTGCGTAGCGTTGTGCATTGCATGAACCATCACTGCTTCATGTATGTTTCACAAGCCAGGAGGTACACGGCTGCGACAATATTAGCAACGGCCAGCGAAGCCCGTATTATGACCTGCATCATAAAGCTGTGATATGGGAGACACATAGAGGATAAGCTGTACCACTTGTGATCGAATTCGACCGCAAGAGTTTCGCCGCCGGACAGCGAGAGAAAAAGCATTTACTCGGCGTACGGTGTAAATCGATCACAACCGTACATCGGGCACATGCAATAACATATTCTAAATGAACCTTTCAATATATATTGGAGCTGTACTGCAATCAAACGCCCCAGAAACGTTATCTTAATTACTTGCTTATTCAAATTGGGGAACTCTCGAGACGCTGATCTTCGCAGCATGTCCCCTAATCCCCGTATTTACAGCAGGCCTCCTAAGTGTCACAGTGCGATCGCCTCGTTCTCCTCAATCGCCATCCAATTCATGCCTAATTCCTAGTGTGTGATGACACGCACCCCTCCCAGCTTGTCCAACTTGTATTTAAACGTTTCATCGGGCGCGGCAATAAACATCTGTAAGCGTACATGAAAGAGAAATAAGAACTTACCAAATGAGGGGGAGTACATATTCCGATGTAGACATGAGAACGCGATAACAAGCCGGAATGTGCATTTGAAAACCTTCAGCCCCTCGTCACTTATCTTTTGTCTCAGCCATTGGCCTTTCACACTTCCTTTCCCACAACTCACCATGTTTATTGGGACTTTCAACTCCCGATGCAGGAATTCGATCAATGGGGGTCCAAAGTGGCCTTCGATCGTTAACAATGTGCATTTGATCTTTGGGTACATGGTGTCGAAGTTTTCGACATGCGTGGACAGGAGCGGCGGGGGAAACTGGTCCTTGTCGTGCACATGGATGACCATCAAATGCCGCGATTGCTCGTTCGCTGTCACGTACAACAGAGCCTTATTCAAAACATAAACGTCATCTGCCTTGCAAAAAAATATGGCGGGAATGGACTGGGTCAGGGCCAATTCTTTCTGCAAGACTCCAGTATCGATTCCCGGGCAGATGCCTCTCAGGACTAAGACAGTGAATCTCAAGAGATTCGTCCACTGGAACATGAGCAGCACCAAGGTCCCTGCGGCCGCCACGTAGGCAAGGAAAACCAACAAGACTTGAGGATTACCCATCAAATTTCCCAAGAGCCCGACAAGGATCATGGTAAAGGCGACGACGACGCTCATCCAGGACACGGTCACGTCGCGGGGAAGGGACGGCCGTTTGAATTTCAGGAGCATGGTGCCCACGGTGAAAAGTAGCAAGACCGACAGGAATGCGAGCGAGTAGACCCCGCTAAGATCCGTGACATTCCCCTCCAAAATGAGCACCAGGACCGCGGAGAAGACGAGGTAGCCCAGGATGATGTTATGAGTGGTCCGACGCCACGGGTTCCGCCTGAGGAGGAATTGGGGCAAGCAGCGGTCTGAGGCCATGCGTTCGATCAACCCACACACGCCCACGTAGGCCGTCAATAGGGAACCGGACAAGACGAGGAAGGCATCCAAACTGACCCAAATTTCCAGCCA